ACTTTGGATTACCTCTCTCGTCTTGCCCTGTTCGGATACTGTTTGCCCCTGCCTGGACCTTTGCCTTCTACCTGGACTTATCTCTTGCTTTGCCTTCGATATACCTGTTTGCCATTGTCTGACCCATGCATGTTAAAACCACGTCTCTTAATAAAAGCTTGCATATGGATCCGCATGTCTCTCGTCTCATAACAGAATACTCGGCCACACAAGGATCCAGCAGCTTTTCCCGTGGACATTGGCCAGGTATGGACACTGCCAAACTATTATTAGCCTTAAAGCAGGGTACACGCCCGCTTGAAGGCTATATTCAAGAGTATCTGGACATTGCGTGTCATTCTGATTTGCCAGACTGTGTGCTAATAGACTTTTTGTGATGGATTAAATTAACCCTTAAGATCACGATTAATGTATGAGGGTCCCCGTTCTTCTCTAAGCTATTTTTTTGCTTTTGAACTGATTTCCCTGTCTGTAGCGCTTCCCACAATGGGGATCGCCTTATGGTGTATTTGGGCTGCATTCACCACCACTGAAACTTTAGAAACAGCGGCGCCCACTATGATGTCTCCAGAGGTGGCGGCTGATGCTGCAGAACCTCCCGAGGCGGCGGCGCTCGCTTCAACTCCTTGTACGGTGGTGGTGCCCGGCAAGGCACTCGCAGCCTGTCATGTCGTAGTCGAAGGAACCGTTAATGAACTCTCCCTATTTTCTGATGGTGCTACTGTAGAACCTCCAGAGGTAGCGGCATCTGCTGCAGAACCTCCAGAGGTGTCAGTGGTATCCACTTATGAACTCTCTACCCATCCTGTCACGGCTATGGAGGCCGTCTGTGAACCCTCTGCTCGTCCTGTCGCGGCTATGGAGGCCGTCTGTGAAATCTTTGCCTGTGTACCTCGGATTCTCCCTCTCGTCTTGCCCTATTCAGATTCTGTTTGCCCCTGCCTGGACCTTTGCATTGTTCTTGGATTTACCCCTCTAGTCTCGCCCTGTTAATTCTGTTCGCCGATCGTAGACCCACGCTAGCCCTAGGTATATTCTTGTGTCTTGCCCTCTATATACTCGTTGCCATTATCTGACCCTTGCCTGTCTCTAACCATGTCTATGAATAAAGCCTTGCATTTGGATCCGCACGTCTCATGTCTCGTCAGCCCCGTAACACGAGCACTTTTGCATATATTTCCAGAAAATGAATCTGACCTATTTGAATGAAGCCAGGTTCAAAATTCTTGTTTGATTTGGGTAACATAGTAGAGTTAAATTAGCGAATGATGTACAGTATGAACAAACTCCTCAGTAAAAACCTTCAGAATATAGAGAAGTTTTTTTTTTTATATATATATATTTTATTTTAAGTTAATATTTTATTTCAAGTAAGGAACATGTTTTTTTTTTTCAAGGTTTTACATTTAATGATAATAACTCTGATGTGTCCAAATAATAATATAGATAAGATTCTGTCAGTATTTTACTCACTTGGGTCCGAAGCACATGCACAGGCTGGCCAGATATCCATTAGAAAAGGCAAAGAGGATCATGAAGGTGATGAACCAGCCGTCGTGTGAGAAGTAGACGGGCAGATTGTAGCGAGGCTGGACATTACAGAGCATGAAGAGAGGGACGAAAATCACACGGGCCACTAACAGACCCGGCAGCAGCTTACTGTCTTTACCAGGCTGAGAGACAGAGACAGAGAGGGAAAGTGAAAATAATACAACAAAACACATGCATAAATAACATAAACTGTTCTGTTGAATGCATTTGTGTTTGGCATTAAACAGATGCACTGAATTTCATTGCTCAAAGTAACTAATATCCATCCAGTCATCTATATTTATTACTGCATGTAAATCCTCCCACCTGCTGATTCTAAGACTCATATTTTGTGAATATATGCATGTTTGTGTGATTTATTGTTCTGAAGGATCCATGTATAAACACAAAACAGACACACAAAATAATATTTGTATGATCCTCCCTAGAGGAAGATCCATCTGCAGCAATATGAATATATAGAGTGACCTTAAGTGTTATGAACACTTAGAAAATACGAGACCAAACGTCCTTTATACTAAAAATACGGTAAGATGCATAAACACTTCGCAATGAAAACAGGAGTCATTTATACTAAAAAATGTGCTTGAATACTTTGCAATCAAAATGTTTCGTAAAAAGAAGTTTGTACAGTTTGAAAACAATAGAAGTGGTGTTGAAAATGAAGTTGCGTCATGTTTCTTACCCACATACAGACTGCAGTCAGACTGCGACCAAGCCAATCAAACACGTTAAATAACAGGAAACAAGACACTGGGATGAAATACAGCTCTACAGAGAGAAGTTAGTCATTGTGTGCAGGAGCTTTAATACAAGCAGCAAGCAAGATGTCTTCATATTCAGACATTGAAATGTTTTAATATTATAATGAACTTCACAGTTTGTAAATGCTTAAACAGCAGCAGATGAATTATGGTCTAAATATCTTTTGGATTTTATTGTTTTCATGCTTGCACAAATAATTTACAACACAAAACACACTGTGGTTATTTGCATTCAGTATTGTTTTTCCCTGTTGTCTGTAACATTATTTATGAAAGCATATTTCTGCCATGGAATGAAATAAATACATAAATAAAAAAGTAATTGCAACTTTTTATGCCCCAATTCAAACATTTTTTCTCTCAAAAATGCAAAATATAAACTCATAATTCTGCAAAAAAAAAAAGAAAAAAGTCAGAATTGTGAAATATAAACTCTAAGAAAAAAGTCTTGATTGCATGTTTTTAACATGAGTTTATAACTCGCAATTCTGAGTTTATCCAAAATATAAGATATAACCTCAGAATTGCAAGAAAAACGTTAAGTAAATATTACAATACAAATTTTTCTCTCACAATTCTGTTTTTTTCTCACAACTTTTTTGCTAAGAATTTGTCAAAATTGTGAGATATAAACATAAAATATAAAAAGTCAGAATTGTGAGGGGGGGAAAGTGGCAAAAATAAAAAGGTAATTGTGAATTGTTCTCACAATTCTGATTTTTTTCCCCTCAGAATTCCGAGATATAAACTCAGAATCTCAGAATCTCAACACCTCAGAATTGCGAGCTGTTAACTTGAATTGTATTGGGAAAAAAAGAGTCAGAATTGTGGGATAAAAAGTTGCAATTACAGTAAAAAAAAAAAAGCAACATTTTTAATTGTGACTTTTATCTCAATTATAATAATATTTA